GGGATGTCAAACAGGTATGCTGTAAGTGTAAAAATCTGTTCAAGTAGCAATGTTAATTTTATGATTTTTTCTTATGCTTGACTGTCAATTTAATCTTAGGTTTATTAGTTACATTTTATTGTAAATAATAAGCTACCTCTGCAGAATGTTCTCTTGTTGCCAATACTTACTGTTGTATCCTTAGTGCCCTGCTGCCAAAAAAATGTTAAACTTGAAGACTTGTCTTTTTCGTCTTAGCTTGTGATTATCTTCCTTCTTGGGGGGGTTGAAAGCTGATACCCCCAGCTAGGAGTAATTTTGGTTGTTCAAACAATAGGGGGAAAAAAAAAAGTGTCCCCTCTGCAACAGAAAGAACATCTACCCTGCTAGAGGAGATCTTACAGAGAAGTTATAACCACGTCTCTTTCGAAAGTGATAAATAATGAGCAGTCTAGATTTATTTCTTTTAATCGTTGTGGCAAATGAAACACTGGTTCACGACAATCTTGAAAGCTTTAATTTGTTTTCTATTTAGAGCTGTAGTGTAGCATGTAGAAAAACTCTGAGCAGGTTTAAGAATATAAATTCAAAAACTAAAAATACTTTTTGTATTCCTAGGGAAATCTTCCTCCAGGATATAAAATCAACCTGATTGATGTGGGGCTGGTTATTGAATATCTGATGGGAGGAACCTATAGATGCACCTATACAAGAAAACGCTTTAGAGCTGTATACAATAGTCTCAGCGGGAACAATCGGGTATGTGGCAGTTGGGTAACAGGACATGATTCCTATCTTCTCAATTAGAAGAAGCCTACATATTTTGGGAAAAAAATGCATCCATATTATTCTACTCTTCTTGTGAATGGACTGGTTCTTCTAAACGCAATAGTAAGGCCTATGAGGGCAGCCAGAAGCTGTTTTGGGATTGAGGACAAACAAAAGTTTTTGTTCTCTACTCCTTATTCTAGAGCATCTTAGTTCCCTCTCTGTTACTCCTTTTTTTTCCTATTCAGAGAAGAATGGGCACTAAAGATGCGGATTGGGAAGCAGGCATGTTAGTTTCTTGTAAAACAAGTGTAACTGCCTACTTCTCAAAAAAAAACCCAAAACCTCAACAAACAAAAAACTTTATCCAGCAAAAATTCTGATTGTTGCTGTTACGTAAGTTCATCACTGTTTCAGTAGTGAAATAACCAGTTCATTGTTTAACTAAGTACCTATGAACAGATCATTGTACAATGTCTAGGTAAGAGTAAAGGAAACAAACCAAACCCCTTCCCCTTATTGTTGTTACAGCGATCTGGGCGAAATCCTTCAAGTACTACTCCTCAGATGTGTAAAAGCCACGAACCTTTTGGCAACAGGGCAGACAAGAAAGAAAAAATGCGCCATAACCATTTCATCAAAACAGCGCAGCCATACAAACCAAAGGTACAGATGTGTGAGAGGAACATGGTGGGGTTTGTTTTAAGTAGTTAGGAGTGGAGAACCTGGTTGGGATCCAAGTGCCCCTAAAGTGTGAGTAGCAGCAGTTTTACCAGCTTCAGTAAAGCTGGAATTACAGCCTTGCTTTTACAGATGTGTATAAGCTGTCTAGCATGCTTACGTGAGTCTGTAAAAGTTGTTTATCTTTCTGGGTACTAAAGTACTCTTCTGGATGGGCTTTGATACGATGGGGAGCAAAAAGCTTACCTTTGACACAATTCTAGCAATTGAGGGGACCCACGTGGCTTTGTAGATGGAGCAGGATTTGGCCTTGTGTTCCTATAAGCCGTCTCCATGAGTTTCTACATTTGTATGTAGGTATAGTAGCTACTACTTTTCTTTTGATCTACAAATCAAAGTAACTCAGTTTCCCAGTTATTAAAATTAATTTAATTCAACTGAAGTTTATGAACAAAAGTTCCAGCTGGTTTACACGTCTTTAGGAATTCTTTTTCCTTTTTATAATTATATATAATTTGATATTTGATCTCTCAGCATTTTATTTCAACTTATGTAATGACCAAGTTTAAAGATGGAAAATATAACTTTCTGATTTTATTTTTAAAGATTGACACTGGTGCAGAAGAGGGAAAAAAGAAAAGAACCAAAGATGAAATAGTAGACATAGATGATCCTGAAACAAGACGTTTTGCTTATCCTCTGAACGAGCTGTTACTGTGGGCGGTGCTAATGAAGAGGCAGAAGATGGCCCTCTTCTTCTGGCAGCATGGGGAGGAGTCCATGGCAAAAGCTTTAGTTGCTTGCAAAGTGTATCGCTCAATGGCCTATGAAGCAAAACAAAGCGACCTTGTGGATGATACTTCAGAAGAACTGAAACAATATTCCAAGTAAATTACATTTATATCATTAAAGATCTTATCTTGGGATTTACAGTAAAAGTAGTGGGACATACATGAACAAAACGCAACCTGTTCTATTTTTTTGAAGTTGTATTTAACTTGAAGACAATGCCTTTCTGCAAAAAGGATTAAGTGGCTCTGTAGTAGAAGTTGTATATGAGAGATTGCTCTCTCCTGAGAGCTGTTACAAGTCATGATTTATAGTTAAAATTACACTGAATTTACTTAATTTACTTAATTCTGTGTAATTTCCTTGCATGTTTTAACAGCTGTTTGCAGCCTGCAGATGTTTTTAATAGAAGTCACGGATTCACATGTTGTAGTTGCAAATTACTGTACAGTGTGTATCGAAGGGACAGGTAATAGTCCCTTCAAGTTATGTTACTGAGAATTCAGTCAGTCGTAGAAGAAAATTTGACCTAAACATAAGGTTATTTCTACAGATACTAGATTTTGTTTTGTTGCTTTTCTTCATTCTAGCGAGTTTGGTCAACTTGCAGTTGAACTGTTAGAACAGTCCTTCCGACAGGATGAAACTATGGCAATGAAATTATTAACCTATGAGCTTAAGAACTGGAGCAACTCAACTTGTCTGAAGCTAGCAGTGTCATCAAGGCTTCGTCCATTTGTAGCACATACTTGTACACAGATGTTGTTATCAGATATGTGGATGGGAAGGCTGAACATGAGGAAGAATTCATGGTACAAAGTAAGCATTGTCGCAGTTTATTGGTGTAAAAAGGATCAGTGGAGTTTGTTTAAATGGAAGGAAAGCGTGGGTTTAAATGCTACTAGTACAAAGCCTTCACAACTATAGCTTATGTTAACAAATCCTGTAATATGGTCTCTTGTAACATAATCAAAACTGGAAGTATTTATTGTAAACTCTTCTTTTGACACTCTATTATTTTTTCAAATAAGGTACAGAAATATAGAAGGCAAAAAACAGGCAAGTAGCCTTAAATCAAAGGCTTAAAGAGATCATGTGAATACTAATCCACTACTAAAAACACAGTGGTAAAAAACCTTAACAGACAGAAAACATACTATAAGAATATAGTTTTATGCATTTAGGCTTTTTATAGGCAGCATGTAAGACTTGATGTAGAAAAGCTTTGTGTCTTTCCCGTTCTGGAGGAAGAAACTGAGCAAAAACGGGGCACGGTATGAAACAAGGGCAGGCAAATTCGTGATAGGTTTTGGAGTGGTGCCCTTTTTGATATACATCATTTGAACCAAAATGAGAGTTATGTATTTGTTTGAGGTGGTGTACTAGAAGGTGTTGCTAGGAATATAATGAAATAAAACTTCCCTACAAAATATCTATAAGGATCATTTAACTTCTGACCTACTAAAATCCTCTTTGATAACTGATTAACTATTTTCTTGCTTGCTTTGTAACAGGCTAATGACAGAAAATAACTTTCACTTATTCTCGTCTTAGTTTGGCTCATTTTTCTGCCATAAGTTTAAAAAAATAAAATCTAAACAAAACCAACAAAAACCACCCGCAAAAAAAACACCCAAACCCCCAAACAAACAAAACGTGTATCCATTCCCCCAGCCACAGCCTCCACTCATCGATGCTTTTAAAGTACACCTTGACATTACACGGTTCCAGACTTTCTGAGAGTGGATTAAAGAACTGAGTTTAAACAGAGTATCTTTGAATCTTCAGGCTTGGAGCACGTTCTTTCTACTGGATTTTAGTTTTGCAATTTGTTGATTTTCCCCCTTTCATGTATCTTCAAGGAACACTCTGTATATGTGATGTCAGCCTCTTAAGTGTGTGTGTATAATAACAACTAATTATTTATCACATTCCCCCTTTTCCCCCCCCAATGGCAAGCAAGTGAAATTTGGATACAGTATTTTGAGAGGATGTTCTGTGTCTTGGTGTATTCTGATATCGTAATATAGCTGTGAACTTTTTGCACTTAGTCTTCATGTATTCCAGGTGATACTGAGTATTTTACTCCCTCCTGCTATACTGCTGCTGGAATACAAGACCAAGGCTGAAATGTCACATATTCCTCAATCTCAAGATGCACATCAAATGGCAATGGATGACAGTGAAAACAACTTCCAGAATGCAGCAGATGAAATACCTATGGTAATGTGGGGCAGGGGAAGATATTAAAAACAGTATTTTGAACTTGAAATAAACAATTATATGTATAAATCAAAGCAAGAATTAAAATGAGTGTCCAAAAGCATGCATTTCTGTGTGTGAAGTTAACAGTACTTTTGTTTTAGGAGGTGTTTAAAGAAGTAAGGATATTGGACAGTACTTTAGAAAAGCATGATATGGAGACTCCAGCAAAACCTAAAAGACTTCCAATTACACAGAAATTTTATGCATTTTATCATGCACCGATTGTGAAGTTTTGGTTTAATACGGTGAGGTTTTTTTCTTTGTAATATGTATTTTATTTGGAAATGTAATGTTAAGAAATGAACTCAAAAACCCACATGTAGCTCTGCTACCTGAACCAAAGTTTAAGCACTTGAAAGAAAGAAAACAAACAAAGAAACAAACAAACAAAAGCCTTACATTGCTAAGCTGGAAGTAAGAAGTACTTGATCTGGAAAAACTGCATATACACATGCAGTGCTTTGTGCGTTTTGTGTGTGGTTTTGACTTTGAGAAATACTTTCTGTTGGTGGGGGTTTTGGGTGGGTTGCTTTTGGTGTTGGTTGGTTTGGTTTGTTTTGGTTTTTTGTTAGGTAAGATACTAATTAGCATGAACTATCATTAGTCTCATCAGTTGCTAGCAGAAATTCTAAATCATTTTAGGCTGAAGTGTATGGGCAGTTTTGTTTAAATTTCTGTAATAGGAACTCTAAAATTTGTAATAAAGGAAAAATTGTTGTAATAAGAACAAAGCTTTGCTAACAGTAAATAGCTAGTTACAGCTATTTTTCCTCCTCCAAAAAGAAAATGTTTGTATCTCCCTATAATAATAACTTGACTGCTTAACGGGATAAATATAGTACTGTAATCTTACTTGAAGCTTTCATTGTATACCCACATCAAGAGATTCCATACAGAGCTGACATCCTTCAGTAATTATATGTATAATTTTCATTGCTTTTTTTAGTTGGCATACTTGGGATTCCTCATGCTCTACACGTTTGTGGTTCTTGTAAAAATGGAAGAATTACCATCCATTCAAGAGTGGATTGTTATTGCTTACATTTTCACATCAGCAATTGAGAAAATTCGTGAGGTATGCCTGTAACAATCTCAAATTTTAAGGGGTTTTTGTCAATTAAAACTGTGCCTTAAATTGTGTTTATAAAGAAGAGAACCTAAGAAGCTTCAAGCATCAAAGGACATGATGCAATACCTTCATCTTAAACTTTGGTATAGGCTACTAGTTTCAATACCAGTGTTTCTTGGCCTGTTGCTTGGACTTGGCTTGCTTTTTCTTCTGTTTTCCAATGGGGAAGAGATGTTAAAAGGACGTGGGTGTTTTCCTCCTAAATTTCAAGGAACTGGAAATGACATCCTGGACTGATTTTAATTTTTTGGGGGGAAAGGTATCTGGAACTCAGTGACTACAAGTCGTAATGAAATAAACAACCTTACTTTTCTGAGGAGTGAAATGTGTCTTTATAAGTGTCAGTGAAACTGTGACAGAGATAACAAAAAAAGCTTTATTGAGACAGCATAGCTGTCACAACCACAGTGTTGCTGGTCAGCAGGATACTTTTGAGAAGTTCTATAGGAATTTTTAAATCACAAAGTTAGTTCATTAACCTGGTACCTCAGCCCCAGCTGAAGGGGAAGAAAGTACATTATTGTAGCAGTAAATCATTCAGCCAGAAGGAAACATACACCCTCCTTGTTCTTTTTCTGAAACTGATGGGGTTAAACACTGGTTTTGGTTTCTCAGTGTAAAACAATTATCCATTTTGAATAGATGCTTCATTTTTGCAAGTATAAAGATGTTAGTGATCTGTTTGTTTAAGTGTTGGTTCATGTGCAATAAAAAGTGAGCTGACCTGACTTTTGTTTTTTATCACAGATTTTTATGTCAGAGGCTGGGAAGATTAATCAGAAGATTAAAGTGTGGTTCAGTGATTACTTCAACATCAGTGACACAGTTGCCATTGTCACTTTCTTCATTGGGTTTGCATTAAGATTTGGAGCGAAGGGAAATTTTGGTGAAAACACTTACAGAGAAAATTATGTCTTTGTTGCTGGAAGAATAACATACTGTCTTAATATAATTTTTTGGTATGTGAGATTACTGGATTTTCTAGCTGTAAATCAACAGGCTGGCCCTTACGTTATGATGATTGGGAAAATGGTAAGTGCTACTCATGTTACTGGTTTGGTTTTTCTTTTCTCAACTGAAATATGGGTTTACAATTTTCTCCAAGTTTATTTAGAAAAAGGTTAGTTATCCTGGAATGCTATGTCAGCAACTTGTTGTGCAGTATTAGCTAGCTGGAATGCAATGAAATGTGTTTCAAATCAAGTGCTGATTAGAAAGATTCCTTTTTTATGGGGCTTTCACTGTCACATATCTGTAAAACGCTGGCAAATCTTCCTCCTCTGGTCTGTTTTGCTCTTAGATGTCAGAGACTTGAAAGAGTACTTTTTTTTTTTTTTGTGATTCACCTGTTATTACTTCCCATTTTGGGTCTGAGATTTATTGATAGTGTTGGTGTTCTTGCCTTTGCACAAGTCTTTTGTGTCCTAAAGCATTGTTGTATTTTGTGGTGTGAAAAACTGAGAATAGATTGTGACTCTGTTCTTGTCATCTCTCACACAAAAGCACTTAAATTGTTTAAGTTTAGAAATAAGTAACTTAGCTTTACTGTCAGTGAGCTGTTCTAAATGTTAAAAAAAGATGTTCAGGCTTGAGAACTGTATATACAAAAGTGGAAGGGGTTTTTGTTTCTTCCCCCTATAAAATAGTCCCTACAGAGCTGAATGCTTTTTATTCCTTAAAAATGAGGCTATCAAGTTGCTAATTTCTCACTTAAGGTCTTAAGAGGCATAGGTTGTGTTTCAGCCCTTGGAAGACTACGACTGCTTTTGTTTTGCAGCTGTTGAGTCCATTTTCTCTATATCAGCTACTGCTCATCCACATAATAGTATTTAAGTTACAAAGGAAATAATCTTACCTGCCTTTGGCCAGTACCTTGTAAGAAAAGATGAGAGGAGAACCAAATTTTTAAAAGTGTGTTATTTGAAAAATTTTCTAACTGAAATATAAGTGTCCTAGACTCATTTCCATATATCATACATAGAACTCATCAATCTTACACTCTCACTGTAAAAATGTTTAAAGTTGTGAAATCAGAATTATGACCTTGTGGGTTAACTGACTTTTTTTTTTTTTTTTTGTGTTAATAGGTGGCTAACATGTTTTACATTGTGGTGATTATGGCACTTGTGCTACTTAGTTTTGGTGTTCCCAGGAAGGCAATTCTGTATCCTGATGAAGCACCCTCTTGGACTCTTGCTAGAGATATTGTGTTTCATCCATACTGGATGATTTTTGGTGAAGTGTATGCCTATGAAATTGATGGTAAGACACTGCACTTTTGTAGCAAGTAAGAAGACTTAACTCTGATAAGATCTTCTGAAGGTCTTATGAAATTCTAATCTGATGCAGTGAAATGCCAGTTATTGTTGACATGGATCCACTCACTGAATTATCCCCTCTGTGGATTGCAGCTGTATAACTTCTTGACTTTACTTTTTAATTTTCCTTTATAAAGCTTGAATGGCTTAAAATGAAAATTCCACTTAATCACAGTTTCTCACAAGGTTATTCATAGCAAGATTTTTGAATTTTCCCAAATTCACAGCTGTCATGCCAAAATTTTGGCTGTATTAGTGCTTTTTTAAAAAACTAATAATATGATTATACTGTGGTATTAACCAGGAATTTTGTCTCCTGTATTTTTCTGCCATATTCCTAACTGTGTGGAGACATTCTGAACTGCAGAACTAGTGCATGATAGTTGGTTGTTGCAACTTTACTTAAATTATCTTTTTTTCCTATCTAAACGTGCTGTGAGTTCTAAAAGTTGTATGTTTTCTCTGTGTATTTTTTTTCCCCATACAGTATGTGCAAATAATTCTGATGAAAAAGTTGCTCATCTCTGTGGCCCAGGAACATGGCTGACCCCGTTTCTTCAAGCTGTCTACCTCTTTGTACAGTACATAATTATGGTTAATCTCCTTATTGCATTTTTCAAGTGAGTATATGGATAACTGTTCATTTTTGAACCTTTGATAAGTTTCTATGTCACTGCAGTAAGATGAGAAGATAGGAAGAACTGATGCCAGTTTAAAGCAATGCCATTTGCTGGAAGTATTTTCAAGTTCTAAGGCTGGCTAGTCTTTGTCTACTCACTGCAAGCCTGTGATGAAGCAGCCAGATGTGTGACCAGTATGAGTCACATCAGCAAGGCCAGAGGAATCAGAAGTTTAAGAGAATTTGAAAGCATTTCATAATTTCTGTTTGTCAGAAAACAAACAAAATAGTTTCTAGTTGGTTGAGATAAATTGTAGTAGAGTAAATTGTCTTTTATGGTTCTCTGCAAGTGTTTGGTTTATGGCAATGAACAGCTCATTAATTCTGCCTTCTGTCATTCTTCAGTGTTAATGTGTTCTGATATAAAAATCTAAATTTAGTTAGAAATAATTTATTTTTGTTCCACAAACTTGTAATTTGATCTCATTGTAATTGATTTCTGAGGAAAGATGGGATGTTACTAGATGAGGTAATTTTTTCAAGCCACTCCTTGCTTTGGATCATGGTGTTTTCTTGAATGTGTTTGCAACTTCCATTAAAATAATTTTTCAGTAAAACAAGTATGTGCTTTTGTCTCTTACTTGACTAGTATCAGAATACAGGATTGATATCAAAATGTAAAAAAAAAACCCACACCACCCCAAAACGCAAGAAACCAAACAACAAAACAACCCCAAATACCAACTTGTCCCACAGCCCCCCTTCCCACCACCCCAAAAACCACCTCGATGTGCTAATGCTTTTCTGTTCCCTTTCAGCAACGTGTATTTACAAGTCAAGGCAATTTCAAACATTGTGTGGAAGTATCAACGCTATCATTTCATTATGGCCTACCATGAAAAACCTGTTCTGCCTCCACCACTCATTATTCTTAGCCACATGGCTTCCCTGTTCTGCTGTATATGTAAAAGAAGAAAGACAGACAAGACTTCAGATGGGCCAAGTATGAACAGTTACTATCCCAAAAATTGCAGTAACCCTTTAAATATGATTAAAGCAAACTGTCAGAGAAGTGCTGTGTTGTTAGTTATAATGTATATTCTCCAGAAAGTTGAAGTAGGTCTTAATTTTCCATGTTTTTAATATTTAAGACTGATTCTGTGCAACATTCCAAAGTATTTATGAAGCATATAATGCACAGGCCCTAGAAATCTCTAGTCAAACTAACATGACAAAATGGAGAAAATGACATTAGATTTCTCTTAGTGTTAATGGAGGAAGAATTTATTTTTTAAATTTCTGGAAAACTTCTGTTCTTATTGGAAACTCTTTGCAATTTAAAAAGAGCAGAGAAAAAAAAAGTCCACAGACGATAAAACTCGGCTGAGGAATCTAGCTTCTACCTCAGAGAAAAAGGGATTGGAGGGTAGGAGTGTAAAGACTAATAATATTGTACACAGATCCTCTCAGAAATACTATTTTGATTTTTATTTTAGTGGAAAACTTTGACCTTGTGCTGTTTTCTTGCAAGGAGAGAGGAAGGGTCTTAGGTGACGTGGTGTGTTAGTTCTTTTATTTATTTATTTATTTATTTAGCACCCTTTCTGGACTTGTGGCTATTAGTTTCCAGCATCTGTACTACTTTGCTACATATTAATTTTTTTTTGTTGTTTAATCTCCCTTTAGAACTTTTCCTGACAGAAGAAGATCAAAAGAAACTTCATGATTTTGAAGAGCTGTGTGTTGAGATGTATTTCAATGAAAAAGATGATAAATTTCACTCTGGAAGTGAGGAGAGGATTCGAGTCACATTTGAACGGTAGAATATTTACAGATAAAATTTGTGAATAGAGAAGCTTAGAACTTTTGCAGGTTTTTAAAATGTCCTTTAAGGGGGGGATAAAATACAGCTCAAGAACAGAAGTATTTATGCAAACTTCAGATGATATATTTCCATTGCTATGCAGAAACTAATAATGTGATAGGTGCTTCTTGATCTGTAGCAGCACTCAGAAAGCTTGAGGCAATCATATTTAGTTTCTCATGGTATTTTAATAACTGAAAACTTTGAACAAGGGCTATAGGCTCTTGTTTATCAATGTGCATATAAATTCTATGGTTCAGAAGCATATATGAATGTTGTATTACAGAGCAGTCCAATACTATAGTGTATACCATCTTGAAATTTCAGAGGTTTTTTTCTATATTAAGTAGTCAGAAAGGGCTGCAAAGATGTTTCTTTTGCATATTGAGAAAATACCCTTCATAGCTACTTCATAATTTGATTTTTCTTAGGGTGGAACAAATGTGCATTCAGATAAAGGAAGTTGGTGATCGTGTCAACTACATCAAAAGGTCATTACAGTCTTTAGATTCACAGATTGGCCACCTGCAGGATCTCTCTGCTCTAACTGTGGACACTCTGAAAACACTGACTGCCCAGAAGGCTTCAGAAGCTAGCAAGGTTCACAACGAAATCACGCGGGAACTGAGCATTTCAAAACATTTAGCACAAAACCTCATTGAGGACGGCTCTCTAAGATCTTCTGTGTGGAAAAAGCACAGCATTGGAAATGTCTTCGGTTCTTTTCCTCAAGGAGGCCTTGAAAGTAATAATGCTTTACTCTGTAACCTTTCTATACGTGATGAAAAAGAAGTCCAACATAAGACAATTGGTCAGGAGTTAGCTCCAGTTCCCCGAAGAGAAGAAGCAAACTTTCAAGAGGCAGGTTCCTCAGGCAGTGCCTTATTTTCAAATGCTGTTTCCCCTCCAGAACTTCGTCAACGAATACAGGCTGCAGAGATCTCAAAATCCATTAGTAAGAGTAAAAAATTAGGCAATTCGTCCAACAGCATGCCACATGTAACATCCCCAACAGCTAAATTTTTTGTTAGCACTCCATCTCGGCCCAGTTGCAAAAGTCAGCTGGATTCTTCAGCAAAGCACGAAGAGACTGTTTTCTCTAAGACTACAGAAGGAGATAATAATGTAGAATTTGGTGCATTTGTGGGTAAGTATAACAAAGTAGATTCTGAATGTCCTCAAGTCATTATTAGCTGCTCTTATCCTCTTGCTTCTGGCTCTGCTTGCCTTGCTTTCACCCAACCTTGTGTTGAAAACAGAGGATACATTAATTGTGGTTTTATTCATGATGAGAGTGACACTAATGATAACTACAGCTGCAGAGTTGACAAATATGATCACCAGTCCTCTGTCAACTTAATGAAGAAAAACCCCCAAATGAAGCTCTCTTTGTCAACTGGCGACTTGACATCAACAGTCAACTGTAGCGGCTCACGTGGAAAATTGAATATTAAAGATGAACTTTCCAAAAGTCATCATGTCCATGCAATGGAACTACAAAACCAAGATTTATGTTCTAACATCCTTATGGGACTACTTCATAAACTGTGGACCAAATCTAAGCCACAAGGTTTGACTTACCAAGAATTGTACAGTATTTTGGGTGTATTCCGGTTGCAGGTGACTTTATTCTACCATTTTGCTCTGCCTTTTTTTTTTTGCTTTTAACATCTCTAATTTCCCTGTGTTGCTTGAATTTATTTTTTTTTTTACTTAAATTATTTCTTTATAATTCTGTCACATAGACAATATTTTTCTGAAAAACATTAGCCAGTTGTCAAGTATAGCAGTTTTGTGCAATTAGAAGTTCTACAGCTTGGTACAGGCGTTGTAGACAAACGTTTTGTGACTCATTATGAAGCTCCTACATTCTCATTGCATAAATCAAAAATATTGTCTATTTCTTGACGTAATTACAGAAGACTTGTTTGGCTGATAAAAGCCTGGACAAATATCTTTGTGGTATCTGGGGGATAGGGATCCTCCTATACTATGTTTCTAAACTGTTACAACTGGGATCTTCCACTGTTGCCTAGGCTAACGTATCTTTTGGTAGTGATTTTGGAAGCTTCCAAAGTCCTTTTCTTATATACAGCATTATGCCCTCAAGTTTTGCTTGAAAGTAAAAGGGTGCACATTTTTGGTTAGTAACCTACATATTTGAACAGTAAAACAGTGGCAGATTCATTGCAAAACAGAGGTGTGGGTTTACTAACTGATTTCTGTAAAGTAGATAATGCCTGAAGTATACCTAGTGTGTAGCAGATGATCATAATCTGGAGTTGTCAGGTTGCCTGCAGAGGTGTTATCTTGTCCCAGTTTTTCCAGCGTTTTCCAAAGGGTTGGTGAGGATGTCAAAATTTAAATCCTTAGGCAAAGGTTTATTCTACTGCTGTGAAACTTGGAGTGCTAAGAAGTTACCTGCCTGCACTAGAATTTTTTGAGTTTGTGTATGTATAGGAAGAGTATCTACATATTTGCACGTTCGCTAGGTATTGGTGTATAATTTCCTTATTGTTTAAAGAAAAAACTTTCTTTTAAAATTCAGAAAGCAAGACTAAACAGAAATAATGGACAGTGATTGTGTAACTTTTCTAATCTTTCAATGTACTAATAGCTTTGACTACTAACTATACTTATTTTATTGGAGCCAAATTTTTAGTGTGTGGTCCTCTGACATCTCTAGCATTTAGAAAATACTCTTCTTTTTTACTGTCCAGGCTGGATAAAACAGGGATACTTTCCATTGTGGAGCCAAGTAAATCTTAATTTGTTATAAAGCCACAGGTTTGATAAAATTCCAAAAAGCATTTATTGCAACTGGGTGGATGAAGAGTATATTTTAAAAGCTACCTCTCAAAAACTGTCTGCTTTTCCTTCATTTACCATACAGAAGAATACTGTGATTGAGGCTGCCTTGTTCCTTTCACGTGAGGAGCATAGGCTTAAGTAAGATTTTAAAATGATAGTTTTACTTTTTGCATTGTAGCAATCAACACCTTGATGTGGGAAAAGCAGTAGTTTCATATTAATATTTGGTTAATATTTTTACTTTAGTGTGTTTGTAAAGTCTTCTCTAGTGCAAGCAGGCAGACAGAACTTAGATGCTTTGCACACCTTTGTGTGCAAACCAAAGCACACCTTTGCTATGGTGATGCAGACTATTGGCATGGTCAGGACGTTGGAAGCTGCCTTTGATTTTGAATACTCTTTTTGAATTCACTGTGTCAAAGGTCACAGAGACAGCATGGAGTTACAGC